CTATTTTGGGCACTAACAAATGCGAAGAAAACAAGTTTAAAAATATCACTGACTGGCAGCATTATTACACACAACTGTTAGAGAAACCCTCCAATTATTAGCTCACTCAAGAATAAAGAGGACATTGATAATGCGATTGAAATTCTCAACAATAGTATCCTCAGTGCATACAACACTGCTACCAAAAAATTCCCAATTGATAAAGACAATTTCCGTTTACCCAGAGAAATTAGAGATATGATTAAACAGAGAAAGAAACCGATTTGAGAAAGAGGTGGCATATCTCTTGGGACCCAGGGGTCAAGAAAGAACTTAACAGACTTAATAATAAAAATCAGTTGCAAGATTCGGAAACATCGGGATGAGGTCTGGATGGAATAATAAAATTGAGAGTTTTAATGAATCTGGAAATGATTTCTGGTCTTTCGCAAGAAACCTTAGGCGCAAGCCCCCTTGCAATAAACCAATTTATAGTAACAACAGAATCGCACTTACATATAAGGAAAAAGCCGCCCTTATGGCAGAGCACTTAGAACAACAATTCGTACCGAATCAAGACCCTTGTGACCCTCTTTTCTCATCTAATACTAGGCAATTTATCAAAGACTGGCTTGAAGGACCAGGGGCCAAAAATCGCACTGAATATACATCCCCGACCGAGGTTAGAAACATTATCAGAAATCTGAAAAACCGGAAAGCACCTGGTTATGATGAAATAACGAATGTTGCAATTAAAAATATGCCACTTAATACTGTCATATGTTAGCATTCTCAATGCCTGCCTGGAAAATAACTACTTTCCCGAAAAATGGAAAAAGGCCAAAGTCATTCTTCTACCAAAGCCGGGAAAAGATGCCACCAAACCGGAGGGATACCGTCCGATTAGTCTACTCCCAGGACTAGGTAAGATTTTCGAACGGGTCATCTATAAAAGAATTGAGCCGCATATGGATAAGCTCCCAATGGAACAATTTGGTTTCCGTAAAAATCTCTCAACGACAAAACAACTTGTTCGTCTGTGTGAATTCATTGGATCTGCTTTATTCATGCATCAAAGTGTCGCCTTACTCATGCTAGACGTGGCGAAAGCTTTCGACCGCGTCTGGCATGAGGGGCTCATTTTCAAGCTCATCACACTTGATTTCAGTAGAGACCTCATCTTACTTATCAACTCTTTCATACGGAACCGCAAATTCTTTGTAAATTTTGGATATGAACTCTCTGAGACCAAATATCTGAAAGCCGGTGTTGCTCAAGGCTCTATTCTTGGCCCTATTTTGTATCTTTTTATGTTTATGATTTACCCAATAGTGCCGATCCTCAATACTTACCTCGGATGTTATGCTGATGACACCGCCCTTGCCGTGAAGTCACATAGTCAAGAGCATGCACTGATAAAACTTCAAGAAAAAAATTCCAGCCATAGAGGAATGGTGCGCTAAATGGAGAATTGCGATTAACGGACAAAAATCCCAGTTGATAATCATCGGTAAAAAAACATTCCAGAATCCCTTTAGACAGAAAAAATTAATATCTTTAATGAAGAAGTACCACTTGTTAAAAAGGCTACTTATCTTGGAGTAGTTTTGAATCACAGATTTACCTGGAAAGACCATATTCACAATATTAAATGGAAGACCTCCTATACTATCAAAAATCTCCTCCCACTAATAGGTAAAAACTCTAGACTTGATCTTAAAAGGAAAAGACACATCTATACAGCAATTATCAGACCAATTTTTTGTTACGCATCCCCTGCCTGGGCGACCTACACTCAAAGTGACATGAAAAAACTCCAAGTAACGCAAAACAAACTTCTCAGAATTATTACTAATGCGCACTTTTATGTTTCGAATGAGACCTTACATAGAGACCTACGTATAGACAGAGTTGAAGAGTTCCTTCATAAAGCTAATAGAAAATTCTTTGAAAAAGCAAAAAATTGTTCACATATGAAACACTTCAAAGTATTCGATTACCAGATCTTTGCAGAGGACGCACGTATTCGACCACTCGCGGCCTTCACCACTCGAGATTCGAACTTCCCTACATAACTTTATCACGAGTGCAACGTCGCTGTAAATATGTATATAGACTTATTTTGCCGTATTTTATTTTTATACTCTTTTTCATTTTATTTGCATGTATTTTATTATTCTAATAAATTGTATTGTATCAGCTTATTTGTATAACTTTATTATGACATGTACCTATCATGAACAACAGAACAAGTCTGATTTTCACCCTGTCTTCGCCTCTCCTGGTCCTGGGCTTCGTCTGCGTGTTTCTCTGGACTTGTGACGTCATGCTGTCACCCCCTCTTCGCACTACTCATGGAGGTAGGAAGTAAGGAACTTTCCTACCTCCATGGCACTACTGATGCCTCCTTTCAATCGTCATTGCTTACTACCGTCATGCGCCCTTCGGGCCTATGTGTCATGAGCCGGAAACATTGCGTAAAAGCAGCAATATGCCGGCAATATTGATGATGATGATGATGATAAAAACGTATACATAATCATTATCAGTTTTGATTGAAATGCAGTAAATATAAAAGGTTCATCATGTGTACGTCATATATTTACAGATTTTGAATTTTTTCTTTCCTTCCAATAGAATTTGTGAATCTTCAAACATAATACCTTGGAACGAGGTATATTAATTTCACAACTGCAAAATATTGAGCATTCATAGGGTGGTGCTGCCATTTAGAATCGAAAGGAAATACTAGAAACTTACGATTACAGCTTTTGGTGTAGAGAAATTAGAATTTTTTCCGAGGTTAAAAAATTGATAAACAACCAGTATATATTATATACCGATGCCCTTCAAAGGGTTAAAAGGGGGGAGTATATAAGGTATTTCTCCCGCCTTCTTAGCCTGCCTTCGTAGTGTAGTGGTCTGCACGCTGGGCGCGTATTCGAGAGGTCCGTGGTTCGATTCCCGTCGAGGGCGTTGTTCATTTTTCATCACTCCTGTTTTAAAAAAATAACCTAATGATTCTACAACCTTAATGAAGTTAAAAAACATATTTCAATCACTTTATAAGCAATTTCCTTTGATAGATTTCCTTTGTGATTATAAATAATTAATCATATTACATGGGTGAATTAGCAAGTATTTAAGAGCAAGTAAAGATTATAACTCGTACTATCTGCATTTGTAAAGAGCAAGAGAAAATTATATCAAATCTTCTTCCGATTTGTATATGTTTTCATTCTTTACTCTATTATTTTATTACTTTATATGTTTAAAAAAGGGCCAATGGGTTTCGTCAACGAGGTTAATCAAATGTTCAGTATAGCGCGGTTAATCAATGTTAATACTTTCAGCCTTATGCCTGCATATGCTGAGCGAATGGCAAATCAGTTTTTTCGGCAATTTCGGAGCAGGATTCAAAATTGTCTCCCCGCAAAGCTCTTCATTTAACGGGGCGCGAGTTCGCAATATAAACAGATAGATAGTTCAATTTCGAAAAGGAAGTTAAAGAAATTGTTCAGATTATAAAAGCAATTACTGATGAAAGATTTTCAGATATGGAAGACGGATACCTCAAAGTACTGATTGAGAAATGATGAATTATGAGCTGCCGATAGTGAAAGAAGTGACAATGAAGAAGATAAAGCATCTTTATCTTAAAGAAATTTAACGAGTTGTTAAAAATAACACAGGAACACTCTTATTTTCCAGTGCAGATTAATTCAAATGAAGGAAGAAAGAAGATGTCAATTTATGAGAGACTTCGAAAAATTGCGATTCTCGGCATGGAATTTTTAAAAGAGCTCCTTCATTCATTGTCCCAAGCAAGAATCACCAACTTTTTAAAAGTATGATCGAATCACATTCTTAGTAAGCTCTTATTTAACATTATTTTTTAATATAACTTCTTTCGACTAATGTTTCTTTTTTTCTTTTAATTACAACAATATTTAGGTTTCCTAAAATTATATATACTTTTATTATTCTGAATTATACCTAATACATTTTTTCCATAGAAAATGAACTTTGCGGAACGCGATTTTGATGCTGCAGACGCAATATATAATCTGAAAGCTTTCAGATTTTTTTTTTTTTTTTTTTTTAATTTATTTTTCAATGATCAAGTATAAAAATAAGGTTCTATTTCACTGAACTAAGGAGCTGCCATCAGCTGTCAAAGTATTTGTTAGTTTGATTTCAAGTACAAATATTTTATACTTTCAGCAGTGTTTTACAAGCTTTTAATATATTAAATACAGAAGAATAAGTGTGTAAATTATTTTATCTCACATCAGAGAAACGTCATTTAGTAAACTTGATCATTCAGTCAACTAGTCATTTGTTGAATATTAGTAAACATGATCAAATAATTCTTTTTTGTATGATTTAATAACGAAAACCTGTTAATCAATTGATCAAGTAAGAAACTGTTGACATAAATACATACTTATTAAAGCATTCTAATTGCTTCTAATAAGGTATACGATCAATTTATGTATAATTAGATTATCAACAATTTAAAAGCTATTTCAGATAACAATTATCATCGAAGTATGCTTTGCGTTTACCATTATTGGAATTAATAATAGCAAACATAATAAGCCACTTGATGAAGGATTTGAGCCCTGCAACACTTGATTAATTAAGTGAGCGCTTACATACGCTGCTTATTACTTGCCCTTGAGTTTCTCTTATGATACAAGTAACAGCAAACGGGATCCACGTTATAAACATGTTTTAACTTAAGAGAAATGGGGGCAATTTTATTGTTTTTATTTTTAAAGTACCATTCAGGTTGTTTTGTTTTCCATTGATAAAGAACAAGGCAAACGTTAATTTTACACGAAAGGAAAGAACAATCGGAAATCATATATGTCATGCAGAGCAATTCGTGTGCAACGGAATCAATTCTTCAACATGATCTACATTTTTCTCTCAAATTGTTCTTCCTTGAAAGTGGCGCTGCAAACGCTTTATTTTGATTGGCCTTCATCATCCTGGGCTGTTTTTGTCCGCACTCCGCAGCCGGTTGCCCTCGCTCAGAGAGTGATGAGTGCAAAAAGACTTATAACCCGCAGCGATTGAATTTGGTGTAGCAATGAAACATCCGATGTTAATGGGAGCGAGTGTTACTCTTGGTCCAGTATTTCAGTTGCCTGTTAGGATACACATGAACTTAATCAACGGTATTAGATAACACGTGGTACAATTATTTGGAATAATGTTTATTGCCTCGGAGCTATTCATCTTCAAGTGCTTAGTAATTGGTAGTACTTAAAATAAGGTAAACTTACCTATTTTTAAATCTATTTCTTAAGAGTCTTTTTTTTTTTTTTTTTTTTTCTGCCGCTTATGTAATCAGTAATTATCTCAAAAAAAAAACAAGCGTTTATATTATTTCTTATACCAGTAAAAAATCTAAATTCTTGTTTACGGTATGTCATTTTTGAGTTGTCTTTTAACAAATGGTGGAATATTTTTTGCGTTAATAATGCCATGTACATTTTATTTGTATTTAATTCCTTCAGTCTGAAAAGATTTTCTTCAGTTATTTATATTAAAATTTAATATCGATTATTTTTCATTAATAATTAGCGGATGTTGTTCCCCCCACCTTTTTTTTATTATTATTTGTATTTTCCGAGTTTGAACAAATGCTTATGTTTTTGATGAATATTCTTAAAAATTATGGAACAAAAGTATTTTAGATCTATTGTTTATATAACGTTCATAACATCTTATAATTTTTTCGCGGCAGCCCTTGAAATATTGATTTATTTGCGACGATTTTTAGTGTTTCGTCATGTTAATACAGTTCATTGTGCGATGATGATGGTAGATTTCTTTCTTTCTTTCTTTCTTTTTTTTTTTTATTGTTAGAAAATGATGAATACATTCTCAGCTTGTACACATTTCTATCGTATAATGAAGTGTTTATGGAAATTTGTTTTCCAAATGATTTGCCCATTTTGGTCAAATTTCTTTTCATGAATCAGGAAAAATTCCATCTCTAAAGCAAGGTCAAGTATTATAATGATGTTTCAATGTCATTAATAAGAATTATAATCATGAATCAGAATCGGTTTGAAATACAGATTTTTTATTCTTTGGAATTAGTAGTTAAATGTTAGTATTCCAGTTTTATGTATAAAAGAATTTATAATTTTAATTTCAAATGCTTGTTTAATCTATCTGCTTAAAAATGTGTTTTTAAAATTACTATTGTTCATGAATTTATTTTTCTTGTATCTATATTTCTGAAATAGTTGCTTATTATAAAATATTCTTACAGATTCTCAACAATCCCCATGGCTTACACTCCTGCAGATCTTCAAGAATAAATTCTTCATCAGCGAGAACTGTTTGTAAAAAGTCCTTGATAGGAATGTTGTAATATTTTCCATTGTGTGCTATCAGTTTCAGATACAAGTGCAATAATTACTGCAACAATGGGTCGATATTCTGGGAAAAGATGTCGACTTTTAAGCATGTTTTTGCTTACTTCTGGATATTTTCTTGTTGAAATAAGTGTTGGGTATGTTACCAATTCTATGGCATTGGTAGCAGACTCTTTTCATATGCTGTCTGATGTTATAGCACTTATAATAGCTTTCATGTCTGTCAAAGTAAGTACTTAATTACCTTTTTAACTGCATAAATGCCATAGTGTGCTTTCTGTTTGTTGTTTATTATTAAGTGTTGGGGAACAGCTGTCTACTTCAGCTCATTTTCTTGTTTTTTAAGTGTACTAAATAATTTTTTAATTGCACCTTGTGATTCAGGATGGCATAAAACAGACAGCAGAATTTCAATCAATGTTTTCATCATTAAAAATTATTGTAATATTAGTATGTTAAGCAAAATTATAGTTTATTCATGGTCTTAAAACTTAAAATGAAGAATACTTTCTTTTAGTTATTTCAGGCAAATCCTCAATTTATATATAATCGTATGCAGTTAAACATCTAAAATTGTAATTTGTTAAGATAATTTGGCTCATTTCTGTGCAGTTGAGCTACTGGGGGGGGGGGAAGTATATCTATCTATCATGTTTAGTTAAATGATTTCATTTATGAGATGTAACTCGATGCAAATAGGCCTTTAAAAAAAATGTCTTATTTTTTAATTTTCTAATTTTGTACAAATGGGTAGAGTAGACTTTAAGGTACCCCTTGTGTTATGGCAGTTGTTTGATTTATCGCCAAGTTGTAGTTTCATTTATGGTAGCCTGAGTAGTTGAATGTTATGGAAATCCTATTGTGACGTAATCGGGTGTATGATTCTGGGATGTTTTGTAAATGTTTTTGTGGTGTGTGTTAAAACCGTTTAGATGGATTTGAATGGGTTTAGGAAGAAAGGCTCAGATGGTGACTATGTGAAGCATTTGATCAGAAAGAGTACCTGGTTTGAAAAAAGTCATTTGAGTATGATTGATATTTTGATTTTTACGTGGCTCTGGGTGTACGAAGCGAACTCGAAAATCATGGTAAGTGAATATTTGCTTTTGGTAGTGCTTAAATGTATAACATGTTTTCCCTTTTTTATGTTATTTTATTGTTTGGTTTAAAATGTATTTTTTGTTTGCCTATATTGTAGACTTTGGTGCTCCTGTGACTTTTTAAGTGAAAATATATCGATGTGTACATGGAAAAAGTAAAGGGAGTGCGCAATGCAATTTTTTGCAATTCTGGGATTTTTTTTAAGTGAAAATAGGTCGATGTGTACATGGATAAAGTTAAAAGAGTGCGCAATGCCATTTTGGGGCAATTCGAGGTTTTTTTTTTTAAGTGAAAATAAGTTGGTGTGTACATGGATACTGAGTTTGTGTAATTGTTTGTCTTGTTATTTTGGCTTTGTGTAGCGGCGATTTTTGTAAGCCTAATATAATCATTTCAATAAATATAATCAAGCTTCACAAGCCAAAATAACGAGTCAAAAAATTGCACAAAATCGGTATCCGTGTTTCGCCAAGGGGTACCCTAAACTATACTTTTACTGTATAAATATCCTGGAATAATTTATTTTCATAAAACTTATTTTTATGTGATTTACTAACTGAAGAGATTCACAAGCTCTTAAAGTTTAAATTTTCCATATATATATTTTTTAACAGCATTGCTTTTAATGGCCTTTAATTTGTTTTAGGCATGTGGTAAATACATGAATATACATATTTTTTACTAAATGCATATGTATATAAGTAATGTGTGATAACTGATAAATTGCTATTGAAATGATTATATTTTTTCTTTATGCAATTATATTTTTGAAACATATTTGAAAAATGTTGACAGGAGTTGTGTAGATTGTTTTACCTCTTGATGAACACATATCCAATAAGAACGAATGCAAACTTGCCTCTTGGTTAACTACCTGTCATTTGTGGACATTGCTGCACTCTTAGCTGATAAATTTAAAACTTATTATGGAACAAAATAGTCAATTGTGCCTTTAAGTGTACAGTCAAAAGTCGTTAATTCGGACACCCATAATCCCACTCCTCAAAGCTACAAACTTTCTGCGCATGCGTCGCGTTCACGCATGCGCACAGGCGTTTAATAGTGCGCGTAAGACCTTTACGTCTGCGAATATGTTTGTGCGCATGCGCGTTTAATGTGTGACGGACGGGATAGGCTAAGCTAAAAATTCAGTTAATGTTGCAGATTGCGTTGTTCCTTAATCTTCGAATTGGATCCGGATTATTATTTTTTGCAGACTGTTAGAGCAATTTCATGAAAGTAAGCTTGAACTTTCGATTATGTCAAATAGAATTTCCGATATATATTTACTAATATGTAATTTGTATCTACAAAGCGAAAGTATGTTTTGAAATCCGAAATCTGTTTATCAATTTCACGCGGCGGATTGGAAGTTGATCTGTCAACACTATCCTTATCTTCAGAGCAGATGTTTTTATTTTATTTGGCTTATAATTCCTTACTAAGTCTAGTATTTCATCTCGATGTACTCCGTCTTTGATATGATTTAAATCAAGTTCCTCGTCATTATAATTCACTTCGGATAGTGAAGAAAGTGACCCAGAGGTTATTGAAAACGAAAACATTTCGATTGACAAATTAGTCGGTATTCTCAACACAGCAATTATAGGAGTTGAAGAGCGGAACTTTGTAACTAAACAAGAAATTATGTCTGTTTAATAGAATTAAAGAGAAAGTATTATCACATGAAACGAAGCAACTTACATTGAAAGAAACGTTTAATAAAGTAAACAAATAAATATTAAGCTTTTTCTTTTTGTAAATTTTGATACCCTTTAGTTCATAATTGTTCTTTATTTCATAAATTACGGTTTCATATTTTTAATTTTGTAATTTCTGCATGCCATCTTACCAGATTTAAACTGATGATCTGTAATCCGGAAAAATCGATAATCCGGAATCGCCGAAGTCCCGACGAGTCCGGATTAACGACTTTTGACTGTATTACATTTTTAGGAAAAAGGAATTTTTAGGCTCTTAAAATATTTGCATAATTATTGCTAATTCACTGCAATTCCCACGTAAACTGAAGCATATTTATTTATTTTATATGTGAATTTAGGCTTCCTTCAAGTGGAGGCTCCAAAATTAGTTATAGAACATTAGTTATTATTAGAAATTAGTTATATGATGTAAACAAGCTTGCTGGAATTATAGAAATGAATTATGATTTTATGTTAATAGAAAGATTTGTTTAATACGAGAATTTTATTTTATTAATTTACTAAGTTTCACGAGTTTTTAAATAAGTGTATAAGAGCTGTATTATGTATTAATTGTAAAAACAGTAAAAATAAGAATTGCAAAATGTTTTAAAGATGGTTGAATCCTAGCAACTAATTGTAACAGCGCATGTATTCTGATTGGTGCTATATAATAATAATAATTAAATTTTTTATACAGTCAAAAGTCGTTAATCCGGACTCGTCGGGACTTCGGCGATTCCGGATTATCGATTTTTCCGGATTATAGATCATCAGTTTAAATCTCGTAAGATGGCATACAGAAATTCTAAAATTAAAAATATGAAATCGTAATTTATGAAATAAAGAACAATTATGATCTAAAGGGTATCAAAATTTGCAAAAAGGAAAAGCTTAATATTTATTTGTTTACTTAAATAAACATTTCTTTCAATGTAAGTTGTTTAAGTTTTGCTTCGTTTCATGTGATAATACTTTCTCTTTAATTCTATTAAACAGACATAATTTCTTGTTCAGTTACAAAGTTCCGCTGTTCAAGTCCTATAATTGCTGTGTCAAGAACACCGACTAATTTGTCAATCGAAATTTTTTCGTTTTCAATAACCTCTGTCACTTTTCTTCGCTATCGGAAGCGAATTATAATGACGAGGAACTTGTTTTAAATCATATCAAAGACGGAGCATATCGAGATGAAATACTACATTTGGTAAGGAATTATAAGCCAAATAAAATAAAAACATCTGCGCTGAAGATAAGGATAGTGCTGACAGATCAACTTCCAATTCATTACGCGCCCGCCGCTGCGCCCCCCCCCCACCGAGCAGCGTGAAATTGATAAACAGATTTCGGATTTCAAAACATACTGTCGCTTTAGATCTTTTACATATTAACAAATATATATAGGAAATTCTATTTTATATAATCGAAAGTTTAAGCTTACTTTTATAAAATTGCTCTTACAGTCTGTAAAAAATAATAAGCCGGATCCAATTCGAAAATTAAGGAACAATGCAATCATCAACATTAACTAAAATAGATAATTAGATAATTTTAGCATATACGTCCATTATACATAAAACGTGCACGCGAAAACGTATTCTGCACTTGCGCACACTCATATGCGCAGTCGTAAAAGGTCTTACGCGCATGCGTAAACGCCTATGCGCATGTGTCAACGCGGCGCATGCGCAGAAAGTTTTTAGTTTTGAGGTCCGGATTATAGATCATTGCGAATTATGGGTGTCCGAATTAACGACTTTTGACTGTAGTATATTTGCCATTTTCTATTAATATTACATCTATGTACATACCTATTTATTTGTGTATGATTTTAGTATTAATGACTTTACATATATCAATAAAGATGCTAGTTAATTTAATTTTTAAATATACTTAACCTTTTAAGATCCTGTTTATTGCTCAATAAAATACTTCTGATAGTTTTTGTTTCTTGTTATTCATCCTATTTGTAAGTACACATTCATATACTTGAAGGTCAACCTTTCCAGATTATATTACCCTTTCATACATTCTTATACATTCCTTTGTTGAATTTATTTTGTAAATCAATTATTCCTTAATACTTTTTTTCTATGTTATAACTATCCATAATCAAATCTGTTTATGTTACTTAGTTATTTCTTAACCAAATTTATATTATACTGCACTCCATATATATCATAAATACTTTGTACACTTTTTTGAATTGTCATGTTCCTGAGCTTACATTCTCACACATACACACTGTTTAATTTGCTCTTCATTCTGAACACCATTTACAGTTTCTGTCACTTGACGTCATATTACTTTGTATGTAAAAATTCATTATTATGGTAAAATGCATGCAAAAGTGGTGATTGATTTTGGTAGAAAATGTTATTTTATTAAAATTGTTCAGAAATATTTTTAGCTTCATAAAATTTGTGTTTATCTTTAGATGTCTCCCAAGAAGTGGTCAAAGAGCACATTTGGATGGGCTCGAGCTGAAGTTCTTGGTGCTTTAGTCAATGCTGTGTTTCTTGTGGCTTTGTGCTTTTCTATATTTGTAGAATCTCTGAAACGGTTCTATACACCTGAAGAGATACATGATCCATTATTAATTCTTTATGTTGGATCTTTTGGATTACTAGTGAATATTATTGGTCTGTTCTTATTCCATGGTAAGAAGAAAGTTCTGATGATTGACTGTAATCTTTATTATATCCTAAGGATTTGGGATTTTGTGTGCAATAAATATATTTTTTGTATTTTAAATTTATTAGTTTGTTCTGATATATTTCAGGTCATGGTCATAGTCATGGAGGTCATGGCCATGATAAAAGGCATAATTTGCCTACCTTGGAAGAAGTGTTATCTGAAGGGGACATAAATGACAATAAAGGGAATTACCAAGTTCCTGATCCAGCTAAAAGTCAAGAGGTTGCCAAAAGTACAAAAAAAGATTGTAAGTCTTTTATTTATTTATTTATTTATTTTTACTTAAACAACCTATCTCATCATCAGAGATATTTAGTACAGTTACTGAAAATTAAACTGCATGACAAATAGTCAACTTCATGCTATAAGCAGTAGAATGTGTGCAAATCAGCTATTACAATTTTTTGAAGAATGTAAGCTTATTTGGCTCCGTTTTTATATTTAATGGTGTTTTCATCATTGTATGATTAGCCACAACAACGTGTGAAATCTGTTTCAAGATAACATGTAAAAAGTAAAGTAAGTGAATAAAATGAATTTATTGTATGCTCCCTCTAATGAAGTCTACATGGATGCATGCCAGATGGTTCTCATCTGGACAGCCCCAATATGAGGCATAAGGTAGGCAGTTCGGTGAAAAACCACCATAGAGATGATGTTAACATTCTCTTGCCGAGACCTGGGTCCCACATTCCCAGAATAAAATCAAGTTCTTAACCCACCTTTGAACTGATCAATCATGGTTGTCACTCCCGGTGACTAGAAACGGGCAGGATGGGACTATATATAACTGGAGATCTGACTGATCATCATGATTTGCTACCAACTGTTATTATGTGGTAGGTCACATACTGGGGATTTATTCATAATATGAATCTGCACTATTCATACCATCTGCATCTACCAGATTGGGGAATTAAACCACCTCGATCTGTAGAAAGTTGGGATAATGCCCTTTTCCCATAGGCATGGGAGAACGGCCAGACTCGCTTTTATTCCTAGTTCCGTAACTGCCTGAGTACAGATCCCTGCCACCACAGTGAACGAATGCTGGGTAGTGGGATATGTAAAGTAGTTGCAAAACATTCTCCAATGATAATTTGAGTTTCATAATATGTGAGAAGTAATCTCCATTCTCCACTGGTAAGTGGTCTGGAAATATCATTTGTTACACTTAAAATTTTTGTTTGTGGTTTTTTTTTGGGGGGTGGGGAGAGGTTGGTGTTTGTTTTTGCTTGTTCATGTGTGTGTGATATGCTAGTTGTGCTATCTAGAATTATTGAATAACATTTTGTTCCCCATTACATTATTTTCCATGATACTGATTATTTTACTGCAAATGATAATGTTTAATTATTATTTCATTATGAATATCTTTACTAGGGTATGTAATAAGCCTTTCAAATTTTGCTGCAAGTTGAACATGTTCATCGAAAGTGTCAAATTTGTTCTTTCCTCTTTCAGTATTTCTCAACTTTTCTTGGTTGTTCATGAAAGATTTATTTCAGCTAGGAATATAGTAAGAGAAAACTATCTAAATCTACTGCCATTTTTATCCCTTTCTGCTCAGTTTGATCTTATGTTACTTAGTACATTAATTCTGAACTTTGTCTGCTTAGAAGCAGTTCATTTTTATATATGATTTATATGGTTTTGTAATATTTTATCGTTAAGAAAAAAAAGTGCTGAGAATTCACCTCTCATGAGAGAATCATAATTAAAATTTAGCAAATAAGTAAACTATTACAATGTTAGAATAAACCACCTATCACATAAACTGTCTGTTTTACAGGAAAAAAAATCAGTTTTATGTCTATAATGATAAGTCTCATTTAATAAATTTTCTTAACTGATCTAATTGAAGCATGTATAGATATAGTATTCTCATTGTTTTTAAATACTGGATGATGCTACACTACTGTGTATGTATGTGTGTTTACTGTTCTTCCTATTCGCAGAAAATATAGATAAAACTTTGTTATATAGAGAAAACCACATCACTGCTTGAACCAGTTATTTCTTTATGATCATTAACAATGTGGAATTATTTTAATTCCTATTTTTCATAAATTTTCCTTTTATACAATTCAGTTAAAGAAGTTTGTAAATGCCATAGTTTTTATTCTTAATTTTTTTAGATCAGATCTTAATTTTTTTAGATTAGTAGGTAACATTAGATAACATTTTTACTACTTATCTTTTGTGCCAAAGCAGCATAAGTTTTTATTTTTATTTCAATAAATTAAGTTATGCAGGTGTAGAAGGGTAGGGGATATATAGAGATTAGTAGATAATTGAAGGGGGACTTGAGGAACACAGTATCATATTTTAGAACTTAGAGGTTTTTGTTTAATGCCAGTCATGTCATGAAGATTGCCTATGATACAGATATTGTCTTCTAAATTTTTAATTTATTAGTCTGATCTTGATTTGTATATATTTTAAAAATTGTGTATAATGCAAGTAATATCTTTTTAGTGTAGTTATTTAAAATTCTCCATTAAGTTTTATGAATAATTCTCATTTTTTATATTTTATCATTAGCACAGAAAAATATATTCCGCAGAGTGCTCTCAGTCAAAATTGGGATCGAGTTTAGGCAGATAACACTGAGCACTGGTAATTCTGACCTGGGGTCGATTCCAGGCGAACTAGTGGCTGCATGGGCGTTTTCATGGTTTCCACCGTAGGTAACGTGTATATGAGCCAGTTTTCCATCCCTCCCCTTAGGCAGATAGCCCTAGTGTGCTTTGCTGTTATTAACTAAACCAAACCAAACTATAAAAGTATCCCTCTTCTTTGGCTCAAGTGCTTTTCCACAATTGAATAAACAAACTTTTGTACTCCACTGACTGATAGAGTAATGGATCTTTTAAAATGGAAGATTTTTTTTAAGGTTTGGTTATGTGAAAAATGAATCAATATTGTTTGAATATATAATGATTAATTTTTCTCTCACTGTTCAAACTTTTCACATGTTTTAATAACACATTTGTCCATCTATGTAAAAAAATAGTAATATTCTACATAAATAATTAATATTCTATTAAATATATATAAATAATATATTCTGTATAAATATAAATAATAATAACTGATATAATAAACTGTTATATACTCTTTTATTAATCAAAAGAAAAACATACATTGAAGTATTTCCAGTGTACCTTTTTTTAAATGCTAATCATTTCATTCTTTTTCAGCTCAAAGTAGCCAAATGAATATGCATGGTGTATTTCTTCATGTCCTGGCAGATGCATTGGGCTCTGTAATAGTTATAATCAGTGCACTAATTATCTGGCTAACAAGATGGGAGTATAGATATTATGTTGACCCTGCATTAAGGTACAACCAATTTAATTGTGATCGAGTTATTTTTATACACTTTTATTATTCAGTAATAAAAGCTATAAAATGTTTTTAAATTATTTTCATCATAAATTCATCTTTTTGGGTGCATAGGCAGCATGTGAAAAAAATTTAATCAGCCAATAAATGGTACAGTTCTTTTCCTTGTCATAATTCCTTCTGATTACTAATGTGAAATAGTGCGAGTGTTGCTTATGCATAATACTATGTTACATGCTGATACAAAACATTCATAAGGCAAAATTAATGTGCAGTTTTCGAAATGCAAGTAGTTTGAAGGCACTAGTTTAAAATGATTAAATTTTCAGTTATTCAATATACGTTATGTATAATTTTTTACTCAAACCACATTTAAATCTTATCAAAATGAAGGTAATAGTCAAAATTAAAAAGTTAATTTATAATAACTTTCAGTCATTTAATCCGTAAGGTCATTACAGCAACATTTATTAAAAATTAACTTTCAAAGAATAATGAAAAAAAAATTAACATTTAAAGGATAAAGGCAAACTCGGTCCTACAACATAATTAACCTACAACCTGCCTCCTCTGAGGCTAACATGCAACTGGTCTCTCTCACTTGCTGGGCTCTGCCAGGCAGCTGATTGGCTGGCTCACCGCTGCCAGATACATGACAGTCATGTTCACATAATATAGTAATGGGTGAATACAGTGAAAAGTAAAACTTATTGTGATGCATTCAGGTTTAGGGGGAAAATTATGGTCTCTGGCATTAAAAATTCAATTAATTTTCTTTGTCAAACAATCTGATATTTGTGTTTCGCTAAGCAATTTCTTGTATGACAAGAAAAATTATACTTATGAATCATGTCATATATTAACTTTACCATTTCATCAAAGTTATTAGGTTGATTACTTATGCATTTTCTTTTAAAGATGGTTTCCTTTCTAGCTAAATGGCAATAATAATCAGTTTTTCTGTTTCTTAAAGACTTTTTATTAAAACATCTATTGTTAGCTACTTCTTGATGAAGCAAGTAAACATATTTTTACTGCTTGAAGCATGTTAGTCTAAATAAATACTGTACCCAAAATATTTCAGCCTTTTCTGTCTTTCAAAAAGTGTCACATATTTAATTATATCGCTATCTGGTTTAACAGTTTTGACATTATTCATTCATTACATTATGAAAGTTTACTTCATCATACTTGAACTTTTTTCCCTCTAAGGCAAAATTATACTACTGGTTAAGGTAACCATTATAATTCCATTATTTCTTATATTAGTATGACTTAGAGATAATGTGTGTATATATATGTATTTTCAATATAAAAAGATTTTAATTTTTATTGCAGTGTTTTTAGGGTGTGTCTCATAATGAATTCAACTTGGCCATTATGTAAGTATCTGCTGTAATACTTCCCCCTTTTTTTTTTTTTTTTTTTTTTTTTTTATAATAAGTTGTTAATGTTGGTTGCTATTCTTTAATGATCAGTTGCAAGTGATTTTAATAGATATTGTATGTCATCCTCATCCCTATAAACAGCCATAACTATGTCTGATGACTGATACATTCTTTTATGTTTTTTAAATGAACTATTCAGTGAAATTATTTTCTTGCTTATAAGCATGGTCCATCAGGAACTAAAAACTCACTCTAAAGTATAGCTTTGGTTTATATCAATAATAAAATACTAAAGGACATAATCTTGAAATGTATTAAAATTTTTAATATTTTATTAGCAATTTTTTCACCTGTGTGGCATATGAGAGGTCTAAAAAATTTCCTTAAACTCAATTAGTTGTCTGTTTAAGCTCAAAATTGCCATTTTGTCAGCTTGCTTTCTTTTCTTTTTCTAATATTTTTAGTAATAGTTTGAGAAAAGCTCTTGAAAAAGGAAAAATTTCTGGAGATTATTGATTAGTTATTAATTATATAAAAATATGGAAAGTATTTACATTAGGGTCTAAAAGGGTAGAAAATTGCTGTTAAGTCTCTCACTCTTATTGCATTAAAAGCCTTTGTATACACATTGGTAAATACTGTATGTAAGCCCTTCATGGATTACAGTATGTAACTGCTGAATGAATTTCCTGACAAATAGTAGAAATATAATTTTTTACTTTTTAAAACAGAAATCACCTATTAATCTGTATACTTATAGTACTTACTTAGGCATATTTAGGCAGAAAATTGTATGTCATTCTACTGGATTTTATTCTTTACTTTCTTTAATACTTACATCAACAGTATTCTAAAACTGATGTTTTATGTTGTGTAATTATGATTTACCAACTGTAATATAATAAAAATTTTCTATCAAAAACATTATTTTTCATGTGAAAATTTGATAACAAATCTAGTGGCAAGTAATTCGCGAAGAAAATGATTTTTCACTTTTCTCTGCTCAAAATAGTCTTGTTTGCTATGATATAAATAGCTTTAATAGATCAGAATAATCAAACAGTGGAATTTCATGGAAGTGCATCACAGTTCACAAAAACGGGTACTTGTATTGACCTGGGAGACTTTTACAATGGAAGCTGTTAGAGTATAAATTATGAATCATTGCATTGAATGGACCGTGTAACTCTATGGTACTTTGAGGCAAATTAGCCTAAAGGCATTAAAAGTATATATAATGCATTAGTGTCTCTGAAGTAAATTGTATTTACTCATATGCTATTAGTTATCATTAGGTTGCTGTAAATTGTATAAATCTACAAAGTTTAATAATGGCATATATAGCCTCCATTTTCTATACAGAATGCCCAAGTAAAATTAGCAAGCAGAAATATAACAGAAGCTTGCAGTCTTTGTTCCTACAAAATTTACCATAACTATTGTATTTTATTTTGGATTCATATAGTAATATACTCAACAGGAGGAATTACAAAATTTGTAGTTGATCTGTTTTAGGTTGCAGAGACAATAGGTATTTTTGAACCAGGAAAGATGAAAAATGAGCAATGCCATCGCCAGGACTTGAACCTCGGACCTCTCAAATAGGCACTGAGTGCACTGACCATTACACCACGAAGGCATGTTAAGAAGGCGGAAGAAATACCTTATATATTCTCTCTTTTAGAGGGCGACTGGGGATTAGGGGACCCAGTTGTTAAATCCTGGTGCTGGAGAATCATCATCCACCACCTTTTTTAGTTTGGAGCACCACTGTAGGGAGATTAAAATTATTTCGAAGCAGGAGAGAGGAAAAATGAGCAATGCCCTCGCCAGGTTTCAAACCACAGACCTCTCAAATATGCGCCGGGCAGGTGGTACTGTAAAGACATTAGGTATTTTTTTAAAACAGGAGAGATGAAAAATGATCAATGCTATTACCGGGACTTTAACGTCGGACCTCTTGAATAAGTACCAAGCATGCTGACCATTACACCACAAAAGCATGCTAAAAAGGGAGAAGAAATACCTTCTAAGGTGTTACTAAACATATTTTGTTAACAACCCTTTTGATATGAAATAACAAGTCTTGCAAAATGTTTTTAAGAAGTCCAGATAAAATGTTTTTTTAATGGCAAACTTTGTAATGATTAATAACATGTATTTATTATACTGAAAATACATGAAAGATCGTATGCTTCATCCTTCGGCAAAATTGTCTGTTCATAGAAAATGGGATTTTCTTTTGAACTGAAAACATCAACTCCTCTTTGAGGTGTTAAAAAGATAAAACTTTATGTATGTACTTCATATAATTTAAGGTACACTGGAATATGTATAAATATTTTAAATTCTACAGTTTTACATCTACTAAAATTATTTAAAAAATTAAAAATTTCGAAATATATTCTTAAAATAAAAAATTCTTCATTTGTGTTTTTTTCTTATTTGTATTTTAGTGAAAGATTCAGCCATGATTCTACTGCAGACTGTGCCAACTCATATTCAAGTTGATTATCTTCAAAATAAGTTGCTACATGAGGTAAGATTTCTTTTAAAATTTATGGTATATGCATAATGTGATATATAACAACACACATTCAGCCATCATATATCTGTTTATGGACTTAATTGAAATGGTCCATAAACAGGAGCATGAAAAATTGTATTATGCATTTATGACTGTGTGTTAAATCAAAATGGGCCTCGCTAAATTCTGTCCTGTAAAGAATTTTTTTTTTTTTCAAATTTTCATATATATTTAAAATTTAGATCCATATTGCTATGTACTGTAAAATTTTTGTTTGAATAACCTGTTAATATCACTTCAAAATTGTGTTGTTGAATAATTTATTAATAACTATCACAATCTGCTTTTCATGTATTTGGAATGACTATCTGTAAAATTTGTGTTGTTAATTTCTTAATGAAAGGTAACTTTTATTTTACTCTTTTCATATTAGGCTTCACTGGTCAAGTCTAAAATTACGGTAGTCTATTTTCTTGACGATGTATAAAAATTGAATATGCTGGCTACATAATCGGCAGACTATTTCAGGGCTATCTGTTTAAGTGGGCAAATGTTTTTCTAAAAAATTTTCTTAAAAAGACATGGGTTGTTTCATCATTACTTGGAGGACGTAATGAAAATTCTACACAGCCAGTTTTTGGAAACTGAATTCTTGCAAACTCTCATTATTTTGTGGTTGAAATATTCTGCTGTTGGTAGCCTACATTTGAGAAGTTTTCAAATTTTTAAATTCGCATCTGAATTTGGATCTCCGCTTCCAATGAAATAAAAAGAGAATCAAAGTTCATTTATGGTTTATCATTAAACCTAAATCATTCTACTTGATATGCTTTGGATCAGTTAACAGTTGTTTCTGTTTAATTTCACCTTTTCTCTGTAGTGTTTTGATTTCATTTTTATGTCTTATTTTCCTTTCTATGATGCATTTTATTTTATTGTTATTAAATTCATATGGTGTTTTAAAAATATTTTCACTGTAATTCTTTCTGATGTATTCTTTGTTTTGCAGATTGACGGTGTGCTAGCTGTTCATGAATTTCATGTGTGGCAATTAGCTGGAGAAAGAATCATCGCGTCGGCTCATATATGCTGTCGAAACTTATCTGATTACATGGCAATAGCAGAAAAAGTAAAAGAATTTTTTCATAATGAAGGCATACATTCCACAACAATTCAGCCAGAATTTGTTGGGGAAGTAAGGCCCTTTTTTTTCATATTCTATTTTTAAAATTGTATTAAATCTTCTGTCATGAATGTTATATAGGGAAAAAGTATTCTTCTGATGAGTCGAAGAATTTTGTATCCTTAACTTAGATTAACTTAATGACAAATTGGTAAAGTTTTTCAAATTGGTGAAGCAAGCTTTATGAAACAACATCAAAAGAATGGATCACACATATATATGTGTTCTAGTTGTAGTTAAATAGGGTCAAAGATCTGTAGGCAGTAGATAAGTAAAGGGTACAAATGTTATAAATTAGATTAGTGGGAAGAAATAAGCTATTTATTTAACACAGGAAATTTTTTACATACTATGTAGTTGAGAAATAATTTCATTAATGTTTGATTATTCCTTTCATTTTACTATGAAAATTAGATTTTTATTCTTTGTTTCAAGAAACCAATAAAATGTTTTTCTGAATTAAATATTTGATAGTTTTCTAAATTTTTTAATATTTCAGCATTAGAAATATCAATGTTAAAATATTAAGTTTTTATTCTGAACATTTTTTCATTCTGTATTATTTTGTATATAAGTCACTTTGTCACTATAAGTTTGTTCAGTGGAATTGCATCATCAATATTGCCATAATATTTCTCAAAAATGTCAACAGGAATAATTCTATTCTTTTGTTAAAGGTCCCAGATGACATGATTTGGTAATGTATAAAGAATTTCAGTATCTTTAGATTAGAAAAATTTCACATCCTTTTACAGGTCCTTATGAAATTTTAAAACAATATTCTGAAGTTACCTTTGAAAGATAAGCCAAATCCTCTTACTAAAAAGAAATCAGAAATTGTCCATTCTATGAGACTCAGATCTTTTAATACAGCAAGTGAATTTAAATTAACTATCCGAGAATTTAAATAGTAGAATACCCGTTACTATTCAAAATTATGTAATTTCTATTTTCTGAATTGCTCATTAAAATTTCTTTAAAATATTTTAACTCAATTATGACTTGTTGCATCCACTATGCAAGTTTTATCAGTTTAACTTCCACTGTTGCGAGTGGCATCTGTTTTTATATGTTCTGCATTCTTGCAACAATTGAAAATTTTTACCTTGGAGATATTTTTTCTGATCATAATCTACCATATCTGATGTCATTATAGCATTAGTTTTTCAAACTGTTATTCTTTTCATAAATTGATTAAAATGTTTTGAAGTATACATTTTTTATAGTATACTTTCAAGTTTTTAGTTAATGGCTCTATAAAAATTCATGTCATCCAGAATTTTTAATTGACTTTACATCTTTGTGGATTTTTAGATTTACTAATCATAAGATACAATTAAGTCCCTTTTTTTATAACCTGTCTGTATTTATACAAATAACTATTACAGTTATTTTGGAATTCTTGCTCCAGTACATTTTTATCTTTCACAGTTGTTTTGTTCCAGAATAACTTTCATCAGCATTGAAATCTCATAAATTTTCACGGTAATTTTTGGAATTCATTGTCATTGCCTTCGGCAAAAATTCCCATAGACAGTCAAAATCTCTAATACTTTATTACTAGTTGTTACTTTATACATAGTTCAGATCTAGCCATCATGACTAACCAGTGTTGTTATTCAAAGAGACCAAATAATGAAATGAAATTAAACTCACTTGCTTTGAACAGATCCAGCTTCCGAAAGGTTGCGCTAGCAATTAATTTTGTACACCAGCAATTAGGATTAGTAATGCTTTAATGGTAGGAGACCTTTGATTAACCTACATGTATACAGTGGTATAGTATTAGCGTAACATTTTTTACAATTATTTAACCTTATCGTTCATCTGAGTCCTTTGTGAAGACTAGTTATTCACATTTTATACAGGAAATAAAGAGGTTCTATATGTGTTTCTCTTCATTACCATGTCAATAAATTTGGTGCTATGTAAATGCAGTGACATTTTATGCTATCAAAATATATTTTTGATGAAATTAAATGCTAAATACGGAATACTGATCCTTATAAAAAATTTTATTTATATAAATCATTAAGTATATCTTAACAAAGAAGTTAGTTGAATAAAAACCACTGATTGCTGTAAGGCAAGTTGAGTAAAAAAACTACTGATTGCTGTAAGGCAAAAGTCAACTATTTACAATTTGACTCATGTGACAAATTATTATCTTTGACACATGGCATTTCTGTGGAGTGGGAAGCTATGTCTGTTTTATATAATAAATCAACTTGCTTTTTTCATTCTTATATATTCCCAGAATCACTGTGATTTCATGTGTATTTTGTACTTTATATTTTTATGTACATGCTTTAAGAATGGAGAGTATCACTGCTTATCATAATTTTCCCATCATGAGTATTTTTGTCAGTCAGTTTAAAGGAAGAATGAAGTAAAAACCATTATTTTATTTTTATATATAGTCATTTCTAGGAATAATATACACAGAATAATTTCACTGAAAAATTGTTTGTGCAGATTTAAATTAAATTTGTTTAAATAACTATTTTCTGTCAAAAGCAGTATTAGTTTTGATCCCCTCCTCTTTCATCTATGTCACTTTACAAATAAGCATATATTGCTACCAAATGTTACCATGTATTATTTTTAAGAAAATAACATAGCAAATGAAAGTATGACAACACCTAACACTAATGGGAATTCTAAGATACTGTTTTTTTAATATTTTATAATTTTGCTGTTGAATTTTATATGGCATAAGTTCAAAGAAAATATTTAATAAATACAGTTAAAAAGACAAAAAAAATTAAGTGGGAGTTAGGTAGGTCGTCCTTTTGTAAAAAAAATCTGAACTTTGATATTATGAACTGAGAAAAAACTGGAAGAAGTAAAAAAAATGTATGGCTATGCATAGCACTGTATTTGTATGCATTTGTAAAAATATGCTGCCTTAAAAATTTTGAGATTTTGCTGTTGAATTTTATGCAGCATACATTTGAAGAAAGTGATGTTTAATAATGAAGTTAAAAAGACAAAGGAAATGTATTAGCAGAAATGAGTCCAAGCATGATTGAATGGTAAATACCAAGCTCAGTGAGAGCACGAAAAATCTTAACAAACTCCTTGGTACAGTTTTAAAATCTGAATTTCATATTTATTTCAGTTGATTCACAATTAACAATTTGTACTGAAGATTTCACTGATGTGGTGTTATCTATTCCAATAGTCTTCTTCCCTTTTGGAAGTCAAAGGCTTTCACTGTTTCCTTTGACAGTGAGGTGTTGTTAACATGTTGACTGCCATGCACATTTTACTTGGTTTGCTCATGGCACCAGCATGATTTTTTTATTATGCAATGTATATTATGTTGAAATATTATCTACAGGAGATAAGGTGAGTTATATAATCGTGTTTAATGAATTTTTCATGGTGGGGGGTCACCGGTAACCGCAGGGTTCGTACGGTCCTTAAGAGTCCTTAAAAGTCCTTAGATTTTTTGGAATCGATTTTTGGTCCTTAAAAGTGCTTAATTTTGGTCAAAATCAACAGAAGGTCCTTAATTTTAATCATCTGAAATTTCTGTCTGTTTTTATGACTGTCATTTTGAGTGTGAATTAGCATTTTGAGGAATATTTTTGGCGATTCACTGCCGTATATATGGTAATCTTTTCAATGGGTTCATGAGTTATAATTTGTTTCTATTTCTAATATAAATGATGGGATATTCGAGTTTCTAAGCAAGAAGTGAAACATAAGCATTCCAAAATTCATTTTTTCTAGTAAAGGGCTCTTAAACAACTTTTTGCTTTTGGGGATATGAATTCTTTTATTAAACGGTTCTAAATTTGGCAACTTTTCAACATTTTGGCGATTTTAAGATTAGTTTCTATAGCAACTTTTTAATTCCAAAATCTGAGAATTTATCGACAATTTTTTTTAAAACATCGTAACATTGATAAATTTTATTAAAATAATGGTAGTATATTGAAATTATATTAAAAAAATAACATTAAAATAAAACATTTTTATTTTTCGCTGCCATATTATAAAGTTTCATTTTGACAACTTATACAATATTTTAAATCTGAAAAATAAACAAGGTATAATGCTATGAAGCACAATTTATGAAACAGCTCTTAGCAAAAGCAAAATTAGCTATGTAATTAATTAAAAATGTCTTGTTTTTAATTTTTTTCAAAATTAGAGTTTTTCCCATGTAATTGTCTCAGAATATTCAAAATTCTCAGAATGTGCTTCAGTTTTCTCTATAAAATTAATTTTATACTTTTCCCCTCCAACTTTTTTTCCAAAATATTTCTGGCATTTTTTCTGTTACAGAAATGGTAGGGATAATTTTTCTTTAGGATTTTAGACATTGCAGCTAGGAAAGTTTAGAAGGATTTGAAGGCAAGATTTATAGACCCACTATTCTAGAAGATTCGAGAAATATGTGACAAAATGAAAAATGTCTCCATAATATCAACACATAGTGGATGTATTTTACAGAAAGTTTGCAACGAATTTCTTAATTTTGGGAGAACATCTGGAAGAACAACGAAAACATAATATTTGAATGTATTACTTCTGATTCTAGAATCTTAACGTGTTTATCTTCTCTTTATTTTCTCTACTTTTCACAAGACAGAAGCATGGAAAATATCAAAAATGGTTCTGATCTTATCACATGGGCAGGCATTATAGAAAGGGATTTTTTTTTAATAAAGAAATTGAAAACTTACAGTTTAAAAGATTCATCTAATATTTCTTAATGCATCATACGCATAGCTGGCAATAGGCATTTTCCCACCTGATGCAATCTATGTGGATCCTAAATTCTGCTGCCTACTGCTTTTCTAAATTCTGCTTCCAATGCTTGCTTTAAATTCTAAAAGTTTTGCCATTTCTAGATTTTGTTGTTTGGTGTGTCATTAAATTCTAGAAATTCTGCCACATCAGCTTTGTAACCGTCCTTTACTATGTATATTTCATATTGCTTCTGAATGTTCATATTACTAAAGAAATAAAATTAGCCACTTTTTCTGTACTTTCTAAATGCATTTAGTGTTTTTAAAATAACGGAAATCCTTAATTAAATCCAAAAATTCTAAAATGAAAAGGAAACATGTTGAAGAAAGAAACTGAGTACATAAAAGAAATTATTCTTCAAAGATATGTGCAGTTATTATTATGTAAATTACCCAATTGTTTGATTTCAACCTTTACTATAACTTCCCATTTCTATTTCCTCATATGATAGAATTATTGAGCCAGATTAAATTACAATTAAATTGTATAATCTTCGACCACTAGTCCACATTATTAGTTTGAATTTGACTGTTCTTGTTTAATTACATCACCATGAGCTGTAATTGATTTTGTTAGCATCAGAACATGCCTTTATGTTCTAAGTTCTTTTTAAATAAGAGGCTTATTTAAACCTTTGTCTGATATTGTAGTTAATTTCAGGCATAGCGATAATTCTGTCGGGGGTTTTGGACTATTTAACTTTTCTCAGATCAATTAAACCCTCATAGGTACATTATGGAGAGGTTGATAAGTTAGGAGATGAAGCGCGCAGAAACTAGTGAAAGTATTGGTTTGCATATTGACACAAATCTGTAATTGTTAGAAAAGATGCTTAATAGAGAAGGAAATCGATATAAACGTTCAAATATGACCAACTATCATAAGTGTAAAATGTTTAATGCTACTTGATAAATTGCATAGTTTATTTTATTCTTATTAAAAATTATGTTAATTAATTCATGTTTAGTAATAATGTGTACTATTTAGGGATCTATTTGATTTTTAGGATGATATTACAAAAGTGAAGTTCAGGCATAAGTAATATCTTCAATTTAATTTATTCAGTTCCGGTTTGCTCACAGGTCCTTAATTTTTTTCATTAATGGTCCTTAAAAGTCCTTAAAAGTACTTAATTTTCATGTGCAGAAATGTGTACGAATCCTGTTATTAAAACCTTAAAGTATATTAACTGAGTCACAACCCCTGGAACTCTACACGAAGCTACGACATTAATGGCGTCAGACAGAGCCCAGCTTAACTCAGAACTTGCCCCAACCGTGCCTACATCAGGCCTTTCAGGTTTGTTCTGATCAGTAGGTATCTCTAGGTAAGCAGCAGCAATGACAACAGTCTTGTTGTGAATCATGCTGATTATGATTTTACTTCTCATTTTAACCTATGAGGCTTGACATAAAATCTGCGTACTATTTACTAAAGCTCTAGACTGAGCAAGTGCGTGATAAAATGAGATATAAAATAAAATCAACTTAAAATTAACTGTTAATAAAACGTAAATAAAATGTCACTTACCTCCTTTCAAATATATTCAGAAATATGTTATAAGTGTAAAATATATAATGCTCCTTGATAAATTTCATATATTTTATTGTCAGACTTAATAATAATTATGTTAATTAAGTCATTTTTAATAATAATAATTCATCCTATTTACGAATCCATTTTATTTTTAGGATGGTATTACAAAAGTGAAGTTCAGAGATATATAATATTTTTAATTGAATTTATTCAGTTCCCATTTGCTCATAGGTCCTTAATTTTTTTCATTAATGGTCCTTAAAAGTACTTAATTTCCATGCGCAGAAATGTGTACGAACCCTGTAACCCCTGAAGCACTGTACACCATTTTTGTGATTTATTATTTAAATTTTTGCAATTTATTATTCTGAAAATCATTATAGTAACAATGGTGATATTTAAAAATTTATCAGTATCAATATAATCGTGTTTTACTATAGGTCGTGTTGCTGGTCACTGATTGCCCCCACGGCGATGTAGCCAAGTTGAGTGCCGGCCGCTGGTGACCATGGCAGTAAACATGTTAAAGTAATGGCAGTAAACATGTTACACATGGCAGTAAACATGTTAAAGTAATGGTGATACAATTGACAGTGTGGAGGTCTGCTGTCTTAGCAGTAGTGTCGACATTATTTTAACACCTTGCTAGTGGTTCACATGATGGCATAAATTCTCTGTTCTAGAATTTATACCACTCTGTGAACCATTTTGCCTAATAGGTGTTGAGACAATTGTGCAAATTGTAGTAAAGTTCATTTAAGTAGTAAAATGATTTTAATTAATGCTAGATATTTAATAAACTTTTGAAGAGAGTGAACTTTATTTCGTACTTATCTTCATTGGGCTGTTTTCCATATTAAATAATGAGAAGTGCATTTAATCATTATTATGGTAATTTAACTATTCTAAATATAAAAATATCTGAATTAATTGTACACTCTTTTTAATCACATATTTTTTCTTTGCAGGCAACTGAAAAGGGATGTGTCCTTGATTGCCCTGTAACTACTAATTGCACGCCACAGACTTGTTGTGGCTCTATGAAAGAAGAGAAAGAAAAGAATGGTGTACAAATGAAGCCTTTGAGCAATAGCCCCTTAAAAAATGGTGGTTCTGATAATTTGGATAGTATAAAAGGAATATATCGCACTATAGATACTTCTAAAGCTGAGAAGCTTTAATGTGTTTTATTTTCAAATGCCAGTGTAAGAACTTTTACAAGTCCTATGCATGTCTTTGTGTTCACTTACTGCATAAAGTCATGTCTCTTAGTGTATATACAGACTATTTATAAGACACACTGCTTTATGCTTGCTTAGCAAAGCATTTTGCCACACACTCACGTATATATCTATTTTGCATATTTGATTTAATACTCTGATGTTATGAACTTGTTTTATATTTAAGGTATCCCTCACCAAAAAAAAGTAATATTTTTTTTATACCTGATGCAAAGTAATTGGAAAAGTACTTCAAACGTTTATTTGGCATATTAAATTTGCTTCTGTACATAAATTATAGTTAATTATAAATGTCAGTATAGTTGAGCCTAGAAGAGCCATAATTTAGAAACATGGCTAAAAATAAATTTATAGGGAAGAAATTCTTGTCTGTTGGTTTTATTTTGTAATATATTTCAGCGTCAAATCATAATATTCGGGTTGAAATTTTTACATGTTATTTAACTTCAGTTCATAACATTCAAGTTGAATTTTCTATTACTATTAGCCACTTATCATAGTTATAAAATGGTAAATTTCCATTTTTAGAAGTATTATTATATTTTATTAATTCAAAATTGAGAAGCATAAAACATTTATTTTAGTTGATTTAGAATTATTAAATATTCATATATTTGAATAAAATAAAATTTCATGATTATCATATATTTGAATAATATAAAATTTAATGATTATCATTATTTAATATATAAAATTAATGTTATCTTTAGTCTTGTGCATGAATTTTTTAAAACTTCACGTTTTCATCTGTATGTATGTATGTATGTATGTATGTATATAAATGTCATTTCAATTTACACTGAGAAAAATGCATTATATTTAACAAAGAGAGTAATATTTTACTATTATGAGTAATAATTTTCTATCCTTTTTAAGATTCTAAAAGTAATAAGGAAAATTTTTTCAAATATATATAAATTTAAAAGTTTGGCATGTATTTTTGTTTTCATAATTTAATTTTTTTCAACAGATTATTCCATTTAAAGCTAAGTTTTAAATTGTATTTATTTTAGAATGTAATCTGGTGTAAATTTTAAAACTGTTGCATTTTTATGAAAGGGAGCTATTATGATTTCACGATTCAGTATTTCTTGTAAAGCAATTTTATTATTTTAAGCAGTTCATCACTATTTTTTCCCCTGAAATTTGAAACAACTTTGTTTACAGAATGATGCTTTTTAATATTTAACTTTTTCTCATTGTGAATTCTTATGATTATGATTAGAACTTCTGTTAATACACAAAATGTTTAAAATGGCTAATAAATTTAATTAGTAATTTTCTTAATTGTGTTTTAGAGAACATTTCAATAAATGCGGGTTTCATGTCAAAAATATTGTGCTGTTTTTAATTTTTTTAGGGGGAGGAGATTTATAAATTCCAGAATGTTTCAACATTTTATTGAAATATGAAATTTAAATTTATAAACATATATATCACATTCTTGAATAAAAATATAAAGTTTCTTGTTTTAATTGATGTCTTCCTCTACAGATTTCGAATAACTGTATGCTTCCACAAAATATAAAACATCTAAACAGAAATACCTATTTACTGAAGTAAAATAATTTGTATGATTTGATTTCATATTTGAATGAAATTATGGATTTTGTAATTGGTGATATTTTAATAAAATTGTTCTTCATATAACATATTAAAGCATTTTATATGTGAACAATTTTGCGTTTGTATATCACTTTTTAATATAGTAACTAATTTTAATTTATATTTCTCATAGTTTTATAAACTCTTGACTTGTATCTTATGAAATCTAAATTTGAATTTTGTCAAGCTATTATTAATATGCAGTTTTATATAGCTTGAATGATTTATTTAACAGTTTTGCTACAAAATGTTTAATTCTTGTATTTATAACAAAGATTGTAAACTTGGCCAGAATAAGGTTTTCAGTAACCCAGTTGTAGTTTATAGATATGGGTTCTTACTCATTTCATATTTTTAAGCAATTGTATGAAAGTCTTTTTTGTATTTTATATATTAAATGTGTATGATCAGAAAAATATTTTTTTAAACAAAGAGATGGATTTCGAGAATAATTTTAAAATAAAATTTTTTATATAAAGCATCTCATTTTTTAAAAGAAAATGAGATGAGTAGTTGATTGTTTAATGATAAAATGTTTTATTACATTATTTCATTTAAATCATTTATTATTATATTTAAAATTATGACATTAAGTGTCCCATACTGAGTAAGAAATTTGTTTTAATTTGTTTTTGACTTTAATATTTATTTAATTATAAATATTTATTTAAACCTTAATGATGGATTTTCATTTTATGAAAATTTAAACATTTCCAACTGTTAAATTTTTAAATAGTACTAGTAATATGCTACAATATGTAATTATTTATCACTTGTTGGTTTTAATGTATTTGTATTTTATACTTCCTTTTTTGTAATTTTGACTGAACAGTTCACTGCTTTCTATGTTTTTATTGAAAATACAAGAGATACCTCAATTATTTAACGAAAACATATATCATGCATTAAAAAATGTGTATCTAAATGTTCTCTTTTTTAAATTTATTTTTATCTGAACAATAAGCATATATTATTATAGAATTTTATATGTAAGCTTACCTGATGTATATACTATTAAGAAGGGAATGGGACTATTCGCCGTCATGACATATTTTTCTTTGCACGACTTTATTATATCTTGCTGTATTATTTTAAGTTGATTTAAACTAATAACTCTGTTCAGTTTCATAATTTAATTTAATTTGATAGACATTTTATGTAAAACAATATATAAAATGTTTCTGTGTACAGTTTTATACAAATACTATGTTACACAACATATTAATTTTAAGAGAATAAGATGCTGACAGGATTGCAGAGTAATTCCGTTTTCTATTCGGATTTCATAAAAATGTGAATTTCCTGTTTGTATGAGTGATTTCTCTGAACTAGCTGATTAAAATTTCAAGAAATTTTGACGAATCATATAAATATTGTATCCGCATAACTTTAAAATCGATAATATAATTTCTGTTACACCAGAATTTTAACCCCAGTTCTCTTTGATACTGACATAATTTTTCAACTATGTGTAATTTCTTTATATCTCATACTTGTAAATTACTATATATATTAAAAGCAACCTTTAAGTATACTAAAGGTAAAGAGAATTTTTAAACTAAATAAATTTAATATGTGTATAATATTGCAAGATAAAATACAGTCGTGTAAAGAAAAATATGTCTTGATGGCGACAGCGAAAAGTCCTAGACCCTATTAAGAATTTTTTAAGTAGAGAATTGTTTGAAATATCAGAAATTTGTATTGCAAGTATCTGAATTTTTTAAAATTGTGTATTTTTGTTGTGTTCATAGTCACAGTTATTACATATTTTGTCTGATGAAAAATAACTGGATTTTTGAACAGTGGTTCAGGAGGAGTACTGTATACAAAAATTTGAAAGAACTCTTCCACCCGCCCTTTTTAATTCTTTGAAAAAGTCTTTATAAATTTTGAACTGCAGTTGTCTTTCATTTAGAAAGCTTGTATAAATGAAATCTTTTCTCAAAATTTAACAAATGATGTTTATCATTAGATTTTTCTTCATTATTATTGTAATTTAACATGTAAATTTTTTGCAGTATTAAATTTATAAAGTATAAATTTAAATTAAGTTGTGTGATATTCAGTTAATACAGAAATATTTACTTTTGGGGGCTTAAAATTTATTTGGTAAATTAGGTCTTGTTCAGAAAAGCATTTTTTTATAACAAAAAAATTTCAGCATTAAAATTTGTTTCAAAAGTTCTGAATGATATGCAATGCACAATATTCTGTTATTTTTAATAATGAATGTTTAATTAGTTGTGTTTTTATGACACTACTGTTATTTTAATTAGTTATATTTAGCTAATTTTCAACTTTATAAAAAGTCATTTAAATTACTTTAGTTTGATCGAGCATTTTGTTTATGGCAATGTTTAAATTTTGTTGTTTTACATACATATATGTGTATAAATGGAATGCATAGTATTTGCCTTCAGTTGCCAGTTCATTTTGTAAAAATTGTTGGCTGTGATAATGAGTTTCTTCTGTAGCTTTATGTATATATATTGACAAATATATATATCTATATTTGTATATGTAAATTTTTTTGGGGGGGTAAGTGAATGTTCTTTAATTGGCTTTCTGTTTTAAATGTAGTTTTATTCAGAATGACTGACCTCATTTTAAATAGCTTTCTTTAAAGAAATAAACATAGGTTATGTTAATAAAGGCAAAAAACTTGAGGGCTATCTGCCTATAGGGAGGGATGCCTTTGTGGAAAACGTTTTAAAGAAACTGGCTCATATCACATTACACATGAAAAAATTCATGAAAACTTCTATGCAGCCAGCTTGCTGGAATTTGAGCTTGAGTTGAACTACTTGTGTTTATTGACTTTACGACTGATATTGATGAGCTGATAGAAACATAGAATCACAAGTAATAAATAAAACTAAGATAATTGACCAGGATCTTTTAAATGATTACCTTTAGTTAAAAGAACAACATTAACGTGATTATCAAATCTTGTTACCTTTGTTTCAGCATATCTTTTGTTAACTGTTATTTACATCAATGATAGCTCATGTTCTGAGATCAAGTAGCAATCTTATGAGCAAAGTAATACGAACATAGTAGGTTTAACGTATCCTCAAAGGAAAAAGAACTGCATGGTGTAAGATTTATTTATCTAAGAAACAAATTTTAGATTACTAAATCATCCTATATTTGTAGCCACATATTGAACCTCAGAAGGTATAAGCCCATAAAAAGCTTGTGCTGTGCAGTAGCAGATATGATAGCTCTCTTGATGAAAGCAGAAAACTTGTGATTTTTTGGTGACCTCATTAATGGCATATTTCTCATGACTTTTCTTGCTGTTAAAATTTCTTATGTTAATTTTGCAATTTGGTGTAATAATTTGTTATTTACACCTTCCTGGTGTTTTAAATCATCCCTAGGTTACTCATCAAAGAAAAGCAAAAATGTTTCATCAGTAAATTAGTGTGAAAATAGCTACATTCTAAACTCAGATTTCCTTTTTTCCATAAATTCATATGAAGTTATTAGGTACAGAATCGGGATTATTTGAATTCATCAGTTCTTTTTGAATACTTATTGAAGTCTAAGTTGAAAAATGGGGGCTATATCAAATTACCAGTCTTATTTAATGCAGTATTATAATTAGTCATTTATTCTTAATTGCAAAATTCTTCTTAATTTATTCTTAATTTTACTTCTTAGTGTATTCTCCAATAAAGAATGCAAGCATTAATACATAAGTTTTAATACATTAACGTCAGGTTCCTCCAGTCTTATAATAAATGCACTTATCATTGGAATAAGAGTTTTTTTTTAAATTATGTCTTTAGAGATTTTTGAAAAAGTTTGAATTTATATACAATATGAAAAAAAGTGTTGTGCATGCGTTTCATATGTGTATGAGAATAATAAGCTCTAAAATCTGTAAATTTATTTATGATAAAAAGTAAATTTTCTTTTTCTCACATTCCTTTACCATTTCAAAGTGTATAGAGTATGCACATACTAATTAAAATACTGCTACTTTGTATGTTTGTACAGCTAATATAGTGTAATAAATTTTGTTTGATGTATTTTTAAAGCTTGTTGTCTCTGCCTGGGTGATTTTCTTTAATATCCTGACTGTAATCATATCTTTAATATCATGAGAAGAGAGAAATAGTTACTGTTCCTTTTTTACCCACATCCAAGAATTTCTTCAGTTAATGTTTACATTTTCCTTTTGGTAAAGTTAGTAAACAGTATATTACATTAGAGAAAAATTAAATTTAGAAAGTAGTTATTTCCGTACCTTGTTATTTAATTATTTTGCATCTATGTGACAAGAAAAGTTATTTTGGTTTATATTAAATTTACTGATTAGAACAAGTAAAAAAGGAAACCAAGTATTCCTATATAAACTCTTAAAGTAATGAGAGGTGTAAAAAAGCAATTGGTAATGAAATTAATATTAAAAAATTATACTTAGCATTTGAAGTCAAACTGGGATTTGCCCCCTTCCCGTTATAAGAAATACACAAGTCACACTATATACTTACAAGAAAGATGTATCTACTATTACTGCATGATACACTAATGCTGCAGTGTAGCACACGCATCAAATAAGATGGCTTCTAAGCAAGTGACTGTAAAGTAAATGTGGAATAATTATTACTGGGAAACTCCTTGTTAATGAAAATGTAAAATGCTGAAATTTAATTCACTTCATTTATACTGTAAAACGAGGGTACTTTCATATTATCCCGTTAACCAGGAAAGTTAGCAGTGATCAAACCAGAGTTCAGCCAATCCTTTTCGCGGAATTCTGAAAGAACAACTGTTTGTTTAATAAACAATCAGTATTTGACCCTGTTTGCAAAGTCACCTATTTCTACTTTTTTATTAGGCCTTCCGATTTTAACAGAAGCTCTGTTTAGAACTCTTGAGTACAAACCTCCGGCAGGCAATTGTTTTAATCTAGTAATGTTCCATTGGTTGTATTCATTTCATCGTATAGTATCCATTAGTACACATTTTTTTTTTTTATGGTGTTATCCCAAACTTTTAAAATAGACCATTGCTTGCTGTTCTGTAGAAAGCAAGTCTGAAATTATTATTATTATTAGCCGGCTGGGGCCAAAGCGAAGTTTATAAGTTCTATGTACACTTGAAAAGAAAATATATAAAAGCACTTCAATATAAATGAAATTAGTTCATTTTTTCCAAGCAGCAACCAATTCGTAAATAACAATTTTTGTTCCCAAACGAGGAAACTAAAACTTTTTGACGCTTCAGGTATGGGTATAACGTCACGATTTAAATTTAATGTAATATAACAACTCTTCTTAATATCAGTAAAAGAATTGACGTGACAATAACATATCGTATCAATCATCAAAACTAGTTCAACCTCAAAGGTTATAATGCCCTAGACGTAAGTTAATAATAAATTTAGAAAACGATACTAGTACAGTCAAAAGTCGTTAGTCGGGACTTCGGCGATTCCGGATTATAGATCATCAGTTTAAATCTGGTAAAATGGCATGCAGAAATTATAAAATTAAAAATATGAAACCGTAATTTACGAAATAAAGAACAATTATGATCTAAAGGGTATCAAAATTTGCAAAAAGAAAAAGCTTAATATTTATTTGTTTACTTAAATAAACATTTCTTTCAATGTAAGTTGTTTAAGTTTTGCTTCGTTTCATGTGATAATACTTTCTCTTTAATTCTATTAAACAGACATAATTTCTTGTTCAATTACAAAGTTCCGCAGTTTAAGTCCCATAATTGCTGTGTTGAGAATACCGACTAATTTGTCAATCGAAATTTTTTCGTTTTCAATAACCTCTGTCACTTTCTTCGCTATCGGAAGCGAATTATAATGACGAGGCATTTGATTTAAATCATATCAAAGACGAGATGAAATACTACATTGAGTAAGCAATTATAAGCCAAATAAAATAAAACATCTGCCCTTAAGATAAGGATAGTGCTCACAGATCAACTTCCAATTCATTGCAACGCCACCGCGGCTTAAAGATAAACAAAGTTTAGATAAAACGTTAAAGTTTAGTTAGATAAACAAAGGATATGCTTTTATTCCATTTTTTTTGCAGCAATTCCACTTTTTGTTTAATGGACTCCGAAACATTCTTACGCTTTGTATATCCTTTACATATTAGTAAATATATAATCGGAAATTCTATTTGACATAATCGAAAGTTCAAGCTTACTTTTATAAAATTGCTCTAACAGTCTGCAAAAAATAATAATCCGGATCCAATTCGAAGATTAAAGAACAACACAATCTGCAACATTAACTGAAATAGATAATTAGATAATTTTAGCTTAGCTTATCCCGTCCGTTATACATTAAACGCGCATTCGTAAACGTATTTTGCGCACGCGCACACACAAATTCGCAGCGGTAAAAATCTTACGCGCATGCGTCAACACGACGCATGCGCAGAAAGTTTGTAGCTTTGAGGTCCGGATTATAGATCATTCTGGATTATGGGTGTCCGAATTAACGACTTTTGGCTGTACTTCCTTAATATATATGGACTATGAAAACAGTTCAGTAGTCTTGAGAGTGTAGAGCCTATATTTTAGAAAAATGTGTAATTATTATTTAGAACTTGAAGTTGGTAAGAGCCTTAGAAAACTAAAAAAAAAAAAACCAGGAACAATGATTTCATTAAGGTGTCCCTAATCATTATTGAAATAAGAAAACTTAGTATAAGCTTGCTCTGTATAACTCTTAATATGACCTTTTAAAAATTTTAACGGGTGCAAAGCATTTTTTCAAGCTGTTTTTTAAAGGTTGAAATAGAATATGAAGCTTGTAACCAAGCAATCAACCTAAACTTTATAAGACCTTTGGCCTTAAAAACGTTTGACCAACTTTTAATCAAAACATGTTTTGTGTGGCAATCTTTATTTGTGTATAATCTGAAACCACTCTCATAAATAGCAATGAAATCTGAGACACAGTGATGCGTCACATAAATAAGTATAAAAATTTACTATTTAAAGTACTTCGAAAAAGTTATTTTTTAATGAACATAGATTAATCGTGCATTCAACTTTGAAATGCACATATATGCCTTCATAATTACAATGAAAACCAGTACATTTTGAATATAAAACATGCAAAAATTATTTATACTGAAGATTTTCATTGCATAGTTGTTCTGTTTTGTTAAAATCACATTTTATGAGAAATCATGAAATCGGCAGTCTTCAACGAAGAATTCGGTGGAGCAATGCTGAATCTGGAAAAACAGTTTCTTTCTTCCAAATTCCTCAGACTTTATCTTTTCGAATTTCTAACTGAACTGTGATATCCTTTGGCTGCAACAGACCTTGACCAATGAAAAATTCTAAAGGTACCTATGAGAAGAATATTAACAGATTAAAGATATATTTTTATTATTTCTGCTATGTAATAAAACTTACAATGGAGCAAGGTAAAAAAACTATATTTTTTCTTTCACTAACAACAAAGTATTCATAACGAAAAAAATTTAATAGGCATTGTAACAGTCTGGTTTCCAGGCAAGATGACAAGGACGTTGTTGTTAAATTACAGTTAAGGTGTATATACTAATAGATCGCGTCGTTATATTCTGAATTTCGAGTTTCATTCTTCAACCGAAAATACAGTGGATGAAAAGCAAATGAGGTCCACAGAGCAGAAAATCTCAGCCGAAAAATCAGGTCTCATCGCCAGTGCCCGTTTAATTCCTCTTTTAATTTTTGTAAAATTGCTCTTTATTTATTCAACAACAAAGTATTCATAAGGAAAAAATTTTAATAGGCATTGTAACAGTCTGGTTTCCAGGCAAGATGACAAGGACGTTGTTGTTAAATTACAGTTAAGGTGTATATACTAATAGATCGCGTCGTTATATTCTGAATTTCGAGTTTCATTCTTCAACCGAAAATACAGTGGATGAAAAGCAAATGAGGTCCACAGAGCAGGAAATCTCAGCCGAAAAATCAGGTCTCATCGCCAGTGCCCGTTTAATTCCTCTTTTAATTTTTGTAAAATTGCTCTTTATTTATTCACAATCTAATCGCTCAATGAGCAGCCATTCAAAAGCAAAATGAACATCAATCTGTCAAAATATCTGTTTTCGCGATTACAATATTTCCTTTCATTCGTACCAGGAAGTTAAAAAAAAAATCTGAAAGCTTTCAGATTTCATATGCTGAAAGGGGCGTTTTTTTAACGTTTTGTGTGTGTTACCTTTATTTATTAAATATCAGGTTCTTCGCACTTAAACGATAAAATTTAATTCAACAGCAATATCACAAAATATTTAAAAACAGCGTATCTTTAAAATCTCCGATTCACAGCGCTGGAGATAAAAATGTTTTTTTTTTTTTTTTCCCCTGTAGTATTGCCATTGCTCGTTTTGAAACTGTTGAGTTTCTTAAAAAATTCGTTGGAAGTTTTACAAAATATGAAATAGGTAATAAAACAAATTCCAAATTTGGGCGATGCATCTAGGTGACGTTGTTTTTTCACAATGCGAGAAACATAAATACATTCATGCAGATTCTTCATTATTTAATTTCCTTAAATATAATGCAGAGCTCTAATATATGGTGGCAATAATTTGAAAAGTGGAACGCTGTTTTATAGTAAACGATGCAAAATGCCAAAACGAAATAATAGCCCCTCTGGGGAAATTGTCCCTTAGGGCTAAAAAAAAAAGATGATTGAATTTTAGTCTGTTAGAAGTTGTGTATGAAAATAACTTTGTAATCGCATTTTTCAAGAGAAAGTTCCAAATTATGCTAAGTAACGTTATATCGAGGAATTCGGTGCTCAGAGCTGGCCAGAGAAGCTGTGTTGTCAGAGTAATGCTGTTTTTAATATCTGTGACGAAAGCGAATTCTTCAATGAGACGGTTAACTGGTCAGCGCTAAATCCCCGAACGCACAGGGAGGTCACGTGATCGTCGCTTCATGCGTAAGCCGACGTCACAACGAAGTTCCGCCCAGCATCAACAACTTCGTTCGATGTAAACATGGTTTGCAACTTTGATTCGGAAATCTGAAATAAGTCTTTGTGGATATCTGTGAATATGTATGTTTGAACGATTTCGAGCATTATACAACTGAATGGCTTGGTTATGTTTCTCCGTATAAGAAAGCGAAAGAATAAATAGTGATTATTTTTTTAGATTGGTCTTATATAGAAAATGTAGTGCACGTAAAAAAAAATCTTCAGTAAGATATTCTAGTATCAGATATTTTTAATCTTATTTTTACATGATACGATTGCTTTGTCAAGTTCACTGATTAAGCTAAACTTAGCAAAACTAGGCAAATTTAGTCTATAAATTTCTCTTTCAAAGAATATTCAGAATAAAACTGGGATTATGGTAACCTCACAGTAAGATTAATAATTTAATTCACAACGGAACTGTGTTTGAATAAAAATATATATATATAAACAGTTATCTGTTATTTTGTAACCAGACCTTAAAAATAGATTCTAAGTTTTTGAAAATGCCATTCAACTGCATTTCCATATATTTGCTATTTTTTTCCTCATGTCACATCATTCATCATCATGGGCAAACTTGTGAATAAAATTTATACAGTTGCTACTAAAACATCTGTGTGTTGTATTGGATTTATGATGCTCGCATAATAACAGATATTTGTCATGCCATCATTCATACTTGTGGATAAATAATATCCAACTCTCATATAACAGTTTATAATTACATCAACACAACTAGAAACTGAATTTCTTTGCTCCAGGCAAACTGGAATTTGTGTTTCCTCGCTTTCAAAATCAATTCAGTTTTATCCGAAATCTAGGCTCCAATTTTTTTTTTTTACCTAATTTTAAATAATTTCCTTGCCATTTCAATAAAGTTAAAAAAAAAAAAAAAAGTAGGCAGTTTCTATTCTTTGACTTCACAAATCCAACAGATACATAAATCAGAAATTAAAAAAAAAAAAAAAAAAAAAAAAAAAAAAAATGACAGTTTTTTATTGCAAGTTGAAATTAGGTGCATTTCAGTAAAAATTTTATATGATGCAATTAAAATATGAAATGAGCAAAATTTCAGGCACATGTCTTGTAATACTATTTCTATAATTATCATATTTTTCAAACAAGGAGCTCACATGTGTTAAAAAAAATTCTGCACAATGTTCCTATTAAAAAGTTTATGCTCATTTTTTCTCCAATAAGTATGTTTTTAAAATGTTTGTGTACTTTTATCATGCATTACAAGTGAAACTGAAAAAATTAATAAATATCAGATTTTATATGTGGCACTCAACACACTTTTGTTCTGCAGTGTTGCCTCTGCTATAATTTTATGAAACACTGCATTTCTGAATATTAAAAAAAATGAATATCAATTGTATAGGCTGCTTCTTTACGAAAGACAAACTAAATGCAGATTCTGCCAAATTGGGAAATAATAGGTAGCAGTGCTAGGAATGCGTTTTTTTTTCTACATATATCAACCATTCAACTTACTTTCTTTGTTTTCAGCATTCATCTTTACTACCTATATTTCTGTCACTGAACTTGATTTAGTATTAAACTATTATTTTAATTCTCAGGTATGCGTACATGGAATTAGTTTCATTAGTTAAAAAAGATTATTAGTAAGTAAGATACTTGCAATGGTATATTGCTAAAAATATATAAGCATGCAGGAAAAGAATTGTTTTAAAGGACATAAATTATATCTTAATAGACAAATCAACAAACCAATCAATAATTGCTATTTCAGAATTTTCAGCAACAATACATTTTCTTATCTTTCTTTTTAATTTTTCAAAGCTACAAAACAGAAAATAAATCCATGACTGTTTCAAAATTTAAATACTCAATAAATAAAAGTGTGGAGAACAAAATATGATTTTAATAATGAATATTTATAAGGAATAATGTTTAACATTTATAAGAACTGTTCAAATAAACTATCACTAACAGCAACACATGCATCGCAACCACAATGAGGTAACTGGCATATACTTTGAAAGATGGCCGGCATGTACTTCTACAGCAATGGTGCTAATTTGGTGCCAAGGTCGGACTAGGGTTTTAAAAATTTATAGTAAACTATCACAAATTCTGCAAAAACGTGCCTTGTGGTATATAAAAAATTTCTTCAAATTTTGTACATGCCAAACAGATCTCCTTTTGTGATCTAGTTTTGGCTAGCCTGTATCAAATAATATAACAAAACAGTTTGCATCATACAGGCAATCAGTCTCTTCAAAATTTGTTGCACTATGCATGAACTATCTTCTCTGTAAATACTTCTGTTTGATAGTTCATAACGTAGAGTAAACTTGGAAAGATTTGTTATGTACTGCTAAGTAACTTTTGCTGTATTTAATATTACTATTACATTAGTGTTTATAGAGTATAAACTCTGAAGGGAAATATGATACCTCGTGTTTTAAAGAAATTATTCTGTACTTTGCTATTAACGCAATTGGTACAGTCTATAAACAAGCTATTCTTTTTTCTAAAATTACAATTTTAAGTTTTTAAATTATTGAATATAGTTCTGTTTAGATCATAATTATACTTACAAATTAACACTGCATTATTTAGATTATAACAAAGGACTGAACAGCTATTTGCCTAAGAGGAAGAATGCCTTTGTGGAATACTTTTTATAAGTTCCTCGCTTCCATGTTACACATGGAAAAAAACCACAAAACTCTCATACAATCAATCCATTTACTGGGATTTGAAACTGGGTTGAACTAACAACACTCCTCAGTTTTACCAATTGCCTATTGTGAACCATTTCCATTGCAGGAAAATATTGTTAATACACATTAAATATGGGTCCCACCAGTCACTGAGAAGTTATGACCACTGAACACTGGTAGTTCAACCCAGGTTTGAACACACTCAAATGATCTAGCTGCATGGTTGTTTTTCTCCATGTGTAACATGAATATGAGCTAGTTTCCCTTAGAAAGTTCTCCACAAAGGTATCCCTGTCCTTAGGCATGTAGCCCTTGTGTACTTGTGCCATATTAAAATAACCTAACCTTAAATTTGAATGCAGTTTTCACAGTTATGGTAAATCAGACATTTTAAGGTATTTTTAAAAATTTCTTGAACTATATTATCTGTAATATGTGTTATTGATTGTTTCGTATTCCTAGACATCCATACCCTGTAAGTTCACTAGGCCTTTAACTGTAACAACTCATTTGCATCATTGGAGAGAAACATTATATCTATTGCAACGATTCATCCACTACCACTTGTTTTCTATATTCTCCTTTTCCTATACATAACACACATATACGTCTAAGTTTTCGTGCTTTTGTTCTCACCATATACACAGTCATCTGTTTTCAGGTAAGGAAACATCTGAGAATAT